GGGAATTAAAAAATAAATATTGATTCATCAATATTTTCATTTTTATCAGAATTTTTTAGAAAGAAAAAATTTCTAAGACATCTATGATGTCAAAATACCAATACAAATATTATTCTTAATAATAAATAAAATATCGAGATAAGTATTACATTTGGAAAATAAAAACTAAGAAATTTTTGAATAAATAACATTTATCGAAAAAATAAATTAAATCTCATCTATCAACTTTGCTTGGTTTTGTAAAATTTATAATTGGTTTTCAAAAGTGAAAGTTATGATTATTTTTTTCAATTGAAAAAAAAAGAAAAAAAATTAAAATTATAGTTTATGATAGAACAGATAGTGACATCATTTTCAGAATAATTATCGCTCACCAATATTACTTTAAAAATATAATTTATATTATTCTATTTGGTAAAGTTAATTTTACAAATTAAGTCAAATTTTGATAATCTATAAATTCATATCAGATGCCCCATTTTTGAAAATTAAACAATCAAGGATTTAAGGCTTGGGTTCAAATCTAATTACAGTGGCTAAATAAATAAATATTAAGCTTGTTAACTGCTTCCCTTATTTTTCAACTTCTCAAAAAAATCAATTAAAAAAAACTGAATTCTTTCTATATTTTAATAGTTCAGCTATTTCTTATAAATTAAATGTAATATAATGCTCATCTTTCCTCTTCTTGTATTGAAATAGGATATGGCTGAAAGTTATTGAAATAATAAGATATCATAATTCTTACTAAATACCAGTTTTTTATACTAGATTTTATCCATTTACATTATTTATAGTTTTAATATGTGTTTATAAATGATTATAAAAAATTTTCCAAATTGTTATCTTTATTTTATTTCTGAATAAAATCAAGTTTTCAACAACAGCTGTGTTTTCTTTGTTTTTTTTATATGGTTATTATTTATTTTTCCACTTATTATCTAATTCATACTTATTCTATTTCATTAATAAATGTGGTTAACCAATTGTAATAACATTCAAATTTTTTTCATTCAATAGTATTATTATTTCAATATTTTTCAAAAATAAATTTTTTAAAAAGATAATTTTAGCTAAGAATATTGAAAAAATTGTATTTATCGAATTTATCCAGTGTTTAAGGTAGATACATTTAAATACAATTAATCTTTTTATTATATTTAATTTTCATTGTCAGCAAGCTAATTTACTTTTGAATTGCTTCAAAAAATTATGTAAGAGATCATTCTATCAATATGGTAGGATTATAAATAAATAAATATTTTACAATTTTTCCTTTAAGTTAATACTTAAATTTTTCTCAACTAATTATAAACAATGATTATTGTTATTATTCCAATTAACTGGTGATATGTATAATGACTTCCTGGGTCATAGTATTCGATCCATGGTGACCCAACCCTGATACATCTTGAATAGTGATCAATTCCACTCAATTACTAATGAGAGCATTCAAAGAATATATCAATATGCAATTTAAGAAAAAATGGTTATTTAAAAGTAGATATTGAATAATCAAGAATAAAATGACATATTAAATGTAAATAATTTCAATTTTCAATTTGTTTAAAGTAAATTGAATTAATTTGAAATTTAGGGGTTTTTTATTGTGAGTAGATATTATTTATCATGAAAAAAAGTTACCAGTTTAGTAAATCTTGATCGTATACGAAGTATATTAAACAATCTTAAGAATTTATTTGATAAGACATAATTTTATATTCATTACAACAGTTATAAATCAGCAAAGGAATTGCATGATAATCGAAATTGTAAATGGAATATTTTCAAGATAATACCTTTTATGAATACTTTATATATATTGTTACATGTTTGCACAAATATGTAATAAAATTGACTGATTTATTCATAAAACAAGAATTTCATGATAAAATATACTAAATAAAATAAACTGGAAAAAAATATTTATGATGTAAGGATTGAATTTTTTATTATTCATAAAAAATGCTTTCAAATTTTTATTGTAGACTATTGTTAAAACTTACATATTTTTGCTTTATTCAATTCATATATGAATATTTGTAATACATCTTATTAGGTAGTTTGACATTACTTTTTTCAATAATTATAAAATTTATTTTGTATTTTGGTATTATTTATATTGCTAAAACTAAGAAAATTAGGGATAATTGAGTATTGTGTAATTTATAAAATTAGAGTTTAATTTTATATCCGTTAATTAATTTATATTTATTTAGTGAAAAATGGACAGAAAAAGTAAACATATATTCGAAAGTCAAAAAATCAATAATAAATGTATTTTACTTTGATATTGCCTTTTATTTATGCATTTTCCATTAAGATGGGTGAAGACTTAACAGGTGCAATTACAAAATACACCTTAGATGTTTAATTGTCTATTGATACATACAATTCAATTTTTATGATATTCCCTTAAAGTTATGAGTTTAACGAATTTATGCCAATAAATTGTTGGTGTAATGATAATTAATTTCAAGCCAAGAGCAAAGATAATTAAATTCAAATTATTGGTAATTTTATTCCTTCATTTTCTCTGAATATTACATTGGAAAATATTGAAAATGGTTATTATCCTTTCAATTAGGATAATGAGTTTATCTTAGAATTTTATTAGGATTAAAACTTAGTAGAAAGATAAAATTGCCATTACACACTAACTTATTAATAACAGTTGAGCATAAAAGGAAGATATGAAAACTACTCAACTTTTGTTAAAACTACTTTATAGTTTGAAATTGATTTTCTATTTCGAGTCAGAGCTGGGACAATATTTGAATTAACCTTTCCAATTATTAATAGAGGAGCAACTACTCTTGTATCGATGCTAACCGAAGATACCTTCCCTCTTTTTTAAAATGCTGCTTTGGACTTTGAAATTAATCTTACAGAACGAAAATTAACCATTTATAATCTCTTTGAAAAACAATACCTTCCCGGTAATTCAATAGTCTTATAAATTAATAACATTTATACAAATAATTAATAAATAGATGGAGATTCCTTTTTGATTATTTATAAGAGTTCATACAAAGGTTTACATATTGCCGAAGGTTAATTCTAAGAAAGTGAAATAAAAAATGTTAGTGAATCAAAGGAATTTCTATTAGAAAGCTTAAATTAGGTTGTTTCACAAAATACCTAATTATTTTTTTCATTTTTACCTCGATTAGCCTATCGCCAAGGAAGTCAAATTTATATCAAGTTTTTAAATCTTTAATCTTAACACTAAAGTAATTAATATGTAATTTTAGTATCAAAAGCTAATTTTTTACCAAAAAAAAACATTAATCCAAATTACGAATTTTACATTGAAAATGAAGGCATAGTAATCAAAAATTTCAATTAATTCTTTGAATCCATGATATTTGAATTTTATCTGCAAGAAATTGTAAATCCAACTGGATTATCTAAACTAAAGATTGGATTCTATGTACTCACACCGGAGAGAAATTAATATGAATATTCAGAACGTTAGATTGAAATAATTCCAGAATCTATATCTTATTTAACAATTGAAGCTGCTAATGATACAGTTTTTGCAATTACTTAAATTTTTATTAAATTTGAATTACAGAATATTTAATCAAAAACTACTACTTTATCAGTGAAGATACCAAAATAAATTGAGATCCTTAGAGATATGGTTTAAATAAAGCCTGACTAATCTTAAGATATTTCATTAAATGGGTAGGAAATGTTATTTAAAAACTATTTTAGTAATAATCAAATTATTAATTAAATCGAAATAACGTTTTTTGGAAAACTTGTAGGGATAGCTGGTAACACTGATAATTTTTTAATTTTCACAAGTGATTTATCAGGTGCTTTAATAAGCCTATTACAAAAACCTGTTTTCTTAACAATTAAACCATCGAAATACACCTTGCTCTCCTTGAATCCACAAATTTATGTTTCTGATTATTTAACAAATTATTTAATAAAATTTCAGATACCCCAAATTTATGAATAGAGTATTTTGAGTTTAGAGTTACCGAATGAATTTAAATAGCAACTCAGCTTTTGTTCTGCTCAAATTGAAGCAATTTAATAAAGTTGTTAAATAGGGAATGATAAAAACATAACAATTAATTTAATTGTTGGTGGAGTCCTAGAAATTATTATTTACAATATCAAAACAGAGAGAAGTGTTTAATAGTATAATTACAAAATTATTGGAGAAATTAAATTCCAATAAGAGATTTAATCAATTCAATAAAATCAATTAGCCTCCTACAGTATTCTATTTCCTTAAACATTTTATGATTATTCATTAATTTCTTCTAATTTATTTTATGGTGAATTAACTACACTATAATTTTCTTTTAATTTATTGAGCACAATCCAACAGAATGATCTTTTATAAATTACTTTCCCTATAAAAATTGAAAACCTCTTGACTTGTTCAAATGTTATGATGAAATAGATAGGCTAATAAATCTATCTTGGTTAATTATAAAATGGTACTAATATAGTGCTTTGTGAATTGATTAATCCTACAGAAGATATTCCAATTTACCCGTTTAACTTTAACGTTTTAACAGCCACAGGAGAGATCATTGCTTAATTTTAAGATTCAATTGGTATAAGGGAAGAACTAAGAGCTAATAAGATTGGTTTTTCTATTTAATAATAGTAATTTTATTTGAATGAAGAAACTTTGATTGCAATAAATTTTCTCACAAACTTAGGTGTGTAAAAGTATGGTAAAATAAAAACGATATTTTAACTCTCTCAAATAGTTGTTTTTGATTTAAAATGTTCCTTCTATTTAATAAACCAAACTCAAGAAATATCATAAGATAACTTTTTGTGCGAATCATACTCAGAAAATGAAAATTTGATTTTTATTGCTAGCTTGGTAAACTCTATACCATCAAACTCTTACCAGCTTATTTTCAATGGATTAATTTTTGTTGGAAATAGTGGTCAGCATGAAATAAATGTAAAACTTTAAAATATCAATTAATTTGGAAATATTGTTGAGGAATCTTCTAAATTATGGAAGTTTACGAATAATTGTTAAGAAAATTGTAAAAGTTGTGTTAAGAAGTACAACTAATGTATTTAATGTAAGGAAGGTTTTGTTTTATTATAAAATATATGCATCCCAAAATGCCAAGAAAATATGATTTTTACTTTTCAAGGCTGTTAAAAATGTCTAACAAATACAAATTGTTTAGTATGTGATTCTTAGAATATCACTTAGTGCATTTAATGTACCAGTGGATTTTAATTAAACAATGGATACTGCTTAAAATTTAGTAATCTTTCAAACTCAGATTCTAATAATCCTATAAACAAGACTGGCAATAATTAAAATAATCAGCATCATAATGACAAAAACGATATTACAGATCTTGATGATAGAAAAAGTGATATCTATGATAGTGCACCAATCTTTTTTATTATTATGGGAGGAATGCTTACAGTTGCAATAGTCAATAAGATTATCAATAAAAGAAATGCAGTTATACTAAAAACATATTATATATATGTTAGTCTACTTGATATACCAATAGCTATCATCAGATTTATAAGGTATTTTATAACTAATTTTAGATTTACCTTATTATAATTTCCAGGGTATATTCTATTATCATTATCGTGCTTAGCTATTACGTTTTTTGTGTAAATCATAAGTAGTTCTTAACTAGAATTATTAAAGAAAACTAATCTAAACTTTTATTAAATTATTTCAATTTAGAAAATTAAAAAATAATTTGCAACTCTGTTTTAATGGAGGATTATTTTCTTTATTTTACCAAATCAAATAGAAGAAAAGGTTTTAAATGAAATAAAAAAATTGTTTTATAGTTAAACAATTTCGCAAATACTACCAATTATTGTTTAAGTTTCCTTTATGTGCAACTAAAATTAATTTTATTTCTTTTCTTTAGATGATATAATTTACAATATTATTATTATTGCTCTATCCAGCACAAAAGATTTATGGCTAAACTTGGAAATCAAAAATTAATGTTAAATACATCCTGAATTTATAGATTAAAGCCTATGCTTACAAAGGCAAGAGTAAGTTTTTAGGGTAGAAGATTAGGTAAATAATGAAGATATCATTTACTTCTCATAATAACCAAAAATACATGAAAAGAAAGAAAATGAATAGGAATTTAAATGAATATAATAACTTAAAATATAATTTATATGTTTCATTTTATTTTTGAATATATTTCATAACTATTTATGTCAAATATCACTCTAATTTATAAAGAACAACTTGGACATTATGCAATATCGAATCTATTTTTAATTTATTCCTAATGATCTCATATAATATATACCAAAGTAATTTAAAACCTGTCTCCACACGGACAAGGATAATAAAATATTTTCGTACTAGAATCAAAATCCATATCCTCAATTTCAATTTCGTCATAGACACTCATTATTTTTTTAATATTTATTTATTTTGTTTTATATTAAGTGGG